TCCTTCCTTCCTTCCTTCCTTCCTTCCTTCCTTCCTTCCTTCCTTCCTTCCTTCCTTCTCTCTCCCAGGATTGAACTCAGGGGCACTTAACCACCAAGCCACATCCTCAGCCTTTTTTTTATTTAGAGACACTGTCTCAGTTGCTTAGGGCCTTGCTAAGTTGCCGAGGCTGGCTTTGAACTCACGATCCCACACTCCTGGGATTATAGGTGTGCACTACCACGCCTGGCCTGGCTAATATATATATTTTAAGTTGGACATAATACTTTTATTTTTTAATTTATTTTCACGTGGTGCTGAGGACCCAACCCAGTGCCTCACATGTGTGAGGCAAGTGCTCTGCCACTGAGCCAAACCTCAGCTTGAAACTGATTTTTGTGGTGATGGTTGCACAATTCCATGAATTTACTAAAAACCACGATGTGTAATGCTGTAGTAGCCAGCCCCAGAGCTCTCCCAATAATAAAAGAAACAGGGAGAAGATTGATGAGCGAAATGTATGCAAGCCTTGTTATTTTTTTTCCCCCTCTTTGGTTTGTATTGACAGGAGACAGAGGAGAATAAGACGAAAGGATTTGATTACTTACTCAAGGCAGCTGAAGCTGGTGACAGACAGTCCATGATCCTGGTGGCACGAGCTTTTGACACCGGTCTGAACCTCAGCCCAGACAGGTAACTGTGGCTGTCACTCAGGTGGAATCCACAGGGATCTGGATTGGGTGGGCACTTTCTCTTTAATATCAGGACAGACGTGGGCTCTGGTCTTGGTTTCACCCATTACCAGACCAGTGACCCTGAGTGAGTTCTTTTACGTTCATCCTGTGAAGCAGGAACAATCACAACACCTGTTTCTGAGGATTGTCGTATGAAGGTTACATGACATGGTGACAGGAACTCTCACAGCACCGGGTACATTAGGCATGCAGTGATTGGCAGCCATTTTAGCTAGTATAATAAAGATTTTCATGAGGAAAAAAAAATCAGTATCAGGCTCAGAGGATTGTCCCTGGATAGTAAGATTTGGGTGATTTTAATTGACTTTTCCTGCTTTTATTTTTATTTTATTATTTTTCACTTCTAAGAAGAAGGAGTAGGTTTAAAGACTCCAGCAACTGAAGTATCAGTACTTTTCATTTATTCTCCAGGCTGAGTTGCCAGGTCTGGTTTTTGCAATGGGAGGAGAACAGGGTGGCCCACCTTCATCTCGGCTCTGTGGCTTAGCCAGTGGGAGATCCTGGAAGTCCAGGGCAGAAGTCAGTTGCTCACCCTAGGTGGTTGCCATTGGAACCTGGCCACCCAGGAGCCTTCAAAGACTCTTTGGAAGGGAGCAAGGAGGGTGCATTCATTGTGTAAATCTCCAAGGTGAAGCAGCTGAGCAGGTCCCTCCTCTTGGTCTCAGGAGCTCCTCTCTCTCACTGGGTTTAGAACAAAAATCTGGTGGGACTCTCATATTAAGCAGGTTTCAGGGTCAAAAATTCCTGAATGCATTCAGAAGCCTGCCCGTGTGCCAACATTTTTCAGATACCTGCTGTGTAACAGCAGTGCTCCCCTATATTTGGACAGCATTTTTGTGTTATGCTTTGATTTCATTGAGAACAGGAATCGGTTATCCTACATCTCTGTGTCTTACATCTTCCACATCTTAGCATCTTAGCTCAGTGGTTGAATGAACAAAACAACTCATCTCAATGACACAGACAAGGCAGGTATTTGGGGCCCCATTTTTGTGGATAACTAAAAACTATAGTTCTGAGAAGTGAAGGAACTTGAAATGCTTGGGATCAGAAGTGTTTTGGATTTGGGGTTTTCTCAGATTTTGGACTATATGCATATGCATAATGAGATATCTTGGGGACAGATCCCAAATCTAAATGCAAAATTCATGTATATACCATAGACGCATAGCCTGAAGGAAATTTTATCCAATATTTTTAGTGTATCTGCAAAATGATTCACGTTTGCATCATGATTATAATCAAAAAGTATCAGATTTTGGTGTTCTTAGATTTTGGAATTTTGGATGAGGGATGCTCAACCTGTACCTAATAAGTGGCAGAGCCAAAGTTTTGGTCTTTCCACCTTTCCTTCATTGTATTCCCTATTGACTGGCTTTTTAATGAACTTAGAACTATACTGGCATGGAGAGGTGTTAAACAAAAAAGTCCTAACATGGTTCTATTAGATCAAGTACGCATGTATATGGTACCCTTTGAGTGCCGTGGAGAAGTATAGCATGGGTAGAAGAAGTTGGAGATGGGCATTGAATATTTGTATCTTTGGTTCTTAAAAAGTCTTTGCTATTTGTGCTTTCTCTTTCTGTCCTTTGTCAATTTTGATTTTTACTTCCTTTTT